GTGCAGGAGGCAGCTGATCAATGACTCTCATCATTGATATTTCTCTCTCTCTCCCTCTCCCTCTCCCTTCTTCTCTCTGAAATCAATAAAGACATATTAAAAAAAAAAATAACGCCATCATATTATCTTCTACCTAACTAAAGTAGCAAAAACTAAATAAAAGAAACCCCTGAAATAACTCTTCATGCTGGGCATGGGGGTGAGTGGGGTCCTCGCTAAGTGTTGGTGGCACCGTGAGGCTATGGGACCTACAGAAAGCACCGTGTCACTGCTCCATATTCTGCTCCTTAAAAAATTTATTCTAAGGAAACAATGAATGAGAAGCCAACAGCAGTCTCTAGGATGTTTTCCCCTCACTGTTCAAAACAGCCACAGCTTGGAAACAACGTAATTGATGGAACTGACATAAAACGACTGAAATGTAATTTTATGGAAATGAAATAATAGGGAACAAATGAAATGTAAACTATAGAGACTGTAGAAAAGCGGACTCGATGTGACAGGCTGGGTGAACATGGACTACACAAACCTGGGCGGTGACCAGGATGGCACCGAAGTGTGCACCTGGGAGGCGGTAAGCAGCAATGGGAACTTCCACCGGGATTATAGGGCATCATTCTACTTTGGAGTGAATTTGAAATTTGTCTTTAAAAGTGTAATACCTTTTTAAATAAAACACTTTCAAGAACTGTTTATGAAGCTATTTAACGATGACTTCTGTTACCAGCTGGGGGGACTGACTCCCATTCTCAGCAGCTGGTAGTCTGGGGGGTCCCCCAGGCGGTGGCAGCCTCTGTAGGGTGGTGACACAGGGTTTCCTTTTGCCTAGGAGTAAGAGCAAGCAGGGTTCCCGTACCTTCTCCTCTTGATTTATGTGTCAGTACCGGGCTTTTACGGAGAGTCTTCCCTACTGGAGGGGACCTGGGGGCAGCGGTGGGAGGGCTGCTTCCCCGGCTCCCCAAGGCTGGGCTTGGAGTTGGGCTGTACCTCCCGCCCCCCACGGAGTGATGCCTGGGAGAGGGGCAGTCTGCAGAGCATGCAGGGCCTCTTCACCGAGGCCTGGGATACAAACCCCTGACAGGAAGGAATACGCGAGACGTGAGCCGGCAGCAGCTCGAGCCCCAGCCTGGCCTTGGGGGGCTCCTCCGGGAGCCCCGGGCAGGCCGCTGCACCCGCCTGCATGCTCCCCTCGGCAGCGGCCGCCTCCTCCGCAGGACTGACCGGCTCCCTCGGGCGCCCAGGTTCCCTTCCCCCCGCCTGGTTACCGGGGGCCACCATGCACCACCCGTGTGCACACCCCCAGAGAAGCCCAGGGTCACGTCCGGGGCCACGCGTCCGGGCTGGCAAGCCTGTCCGTGGTCAGTTCTGTGTGACTGGTTTTGGTTTTGCTACTTTAGGGATATACGCCGAACTACAAAACAGGCGTCAGAAGACATTCATGGTAGAGTTGGGGGTGTCCCCTAGGGATCTCCTTGGGCGGGTTCAGGCGCACACAGGGAGAAACATGGGCTCGGAGTTAGACGAGCCTAGATTAGAAAGCACACGCGGCTCTCCTGAGCCCCAGTCCTGAAAGCAGACTGACAGTGCGGGCTCTCTAAGGTCAGAGTCCCGCGCGGCGGCCCCAGCAAAGGGCAGCGTATCCTCAGGATCTGCGTGTCACCGCGAGCAGCGGCGGCTCCTCGGGGGGACCAGGAGCCCTCGCCCCCCCGTCTGCTTTGCTCCCCTCCTGCCGCAGCCCCTCCTGCCTTTCATCTCCTGGCTGGATGACTGGGCGCATCATCTGACTTCCCTGCACCTATTATTTCCCCACCAGTAGTGAGGGGCGATAAGGGTGCCCACCCCATAGGGCTGGGGGGGGGGTAAGCTGAGGCTGTCCACACAAAAGCACCCAGGGCAGGTGCTCAGACACGTCCTCCAGGGCAAGGAAACAGGTCCACTGACACTGACGTGTGAGTGGTGCCTCTCGCTTCTCAAATCCACCCACAGGTATGAAATGGTGCCCGGATGACACAGAGCCATGTGCCACCCTCAGCACCGCACTGCATTCTGTTCCTGAGGCCCGCAGCTTGGGGCATGCCAGGGCACTGCACCTGCCCAAGGCACACCCGCCGTGTACCGCACCTGCCCACCCCCGCTCCTGTCTGGGCCACTGTACCTGCTTGAGGTGCAGGCCTCTCGGGCGGCCTTTGGCCATACTGAGCTCCCACACACACACCACAGTGCTGTCCCCGGAGGTGACGATTATCTTGGGGGACGGGCACACGGCACACAGGCAGCGGCCCCAGGCGGCCAGGTTCTCGAACGTCATCAGGATCTGCGGAAGACAAGTAGGGTGCACACTCACTAACAACACCGACTCCCTGCAGTGCGGTCAGAGGCCCGGCCCGCAGGCCCTTGGCACAGTCACGTGAACCCTCTCGTTCCCGGCTGGGGCACCACCCCTGCAAGATGTGGGTCCTGGGGACTGTGCCTACGTCAGTCCCGTCCATCTGACGCCTCTGCCCCGACATGAAGGAGGCTGAGCCTGCAGTCGCCCTGCTCCCTGGTCCCCTCACCCGCCTGCAGTCGCCCTGCTCCCTGGTCCCCTCACCCGCCTGCAGTCGCCCTGC